TTATTATTATTATTATTATTATTATTATTATTATTTTATTATGTTAAACAAATAATGAAAACGTAAGTAAAGATAAGAAGTAATAGACAGAAAAAAGGAGCAGGAATATCATCTTGTTCATTCATATTTATCATAGTACAATGATATATAGACAAGATACAGGATAATTACATCTGTTACATGTTGGAAAAATTAGCTTAAAATGGCATATTAAGTGGCTATTTTGTGGTACAATTATCAGTGGGGTCTACTTCCGATTTGGGTCGGGTCAAAGTGGATTCGGGTTCTTCGTAGTGAGACGAAGAGATTGATATATTGTACGCTCAAAACGGATAATGGGTGAATGAGATATTGATTCTCAAAGTAGACCCATTTAAGTTGGGAAATGAAGGGAAAATGTAGGACTTTGTCCTACATTGGTTTGGAAACAAGATTTGCCCCCCTTATATACATGAGCTCTTTTCAAGCTTGTAGAATTGTATAGCATAGAGGCTCTCTCGCGCGGGGGGGGGGGGGTGCAAATGAAAATCCAACTAGAGGACATCAAAAAGGCTTGAAATCAAGCCCGAGCTCGCGGGAAATGGGCTGGCCTTGCAGGCTAAGTTATGCCTAACTTCGGTATCATTTTCCATCTGGGAGTCACTTGTTTCGGCCAGAACCGAACCGAGAGCACCTACTCTCGTGTGTAGCACGAGAGGTTGTGGTGCACCGAGAGCACAACTCTCGTGCATCTGTGACCACGAGAGTAGTGCACTCTCGGGTTGCACCACAGTGCACACGAGAGATGTACTCTCGTGTTGACTGGTCCGTGTGCTCTCGTGTGAACCTGCAACCCAACGGTCTGAAACCCGAAAGTGCAGAAGATTAAACTCATCTGTTACGGAATTAATACTGTTTTAATTCCAATTTTAAATTCTGAGTTTAATCCCACTTAGTGGGTGACCGTTACAGGTGTTATACAATTGGTTTAATACCAATTAAAGGCCATGTTGAATGCTATCCCTTCCAACATCCCTATATAAGGAGAGGTAGAGCAGTAGCTTTTCAAACAGTACACGAAACTAAGGAATTCCAGTAGCTTTCAGCTTCAAAACTTCTGCTTCTACTCTCTTCTTTTGCCAACAGTGTTCATACTGTGCTTTGTTTGCCGGGTTCCTTGTTTAGGTGCTTAAACAAGGAATCGTAGCACGTTTTATCCTGGGAAACCTAGGCTACAACGCTCCTAGCACTTGTGGGGGGTAGCAAATAAGGTTTTAAGGAAAAGAACCTTGTGTTCGAACTCGTGCTAAACCTATACCCCAAACACTCAACCTTTTCCTTCCCAGTTTCTGTTTTCCCATATAATATTAATCTTTCCATAGAATTATTATTATTTTGGGATTTTCCACCTTATTACCCAACATTACAAACGTTGCCAACTATAATACTTTCACAAATAACCAGATTCTAGAAGATCACATCTAATCATTACGCTTTAATCGGGTTATTCTATTCAACCTCTTAAAAAGATAAAGAACTTCAATCAAAATCAAAATACTTAATAGCATGGTGATACAATTATACAAAACTTATACCCCGAGTACACGCAATGGAACCGTAAATGGTCAAGTGAAACCCACTCAACGAAATGAAAAAGACATATATGGTCGAATCGTAACCATAGAATACGACCCTAATCGAAATGTCTCGCATCCCTAGTATTATGTTTGTTTGGTGCACCTATGAATTGACTAGGGTTTCTCATCATCTGGACGAACGGACAAAATTTATTTAAGTTTTTTCAAGAGTGACAATGTTTATTTACTAGATCTAGTATAATTCTTATTTCTTACACCGATGGATCTCCTATACTTCTGGCATCAGGAGTATCGATAGATTTATTTGGTCCAAGTTGGCAAGGTATATGAGACCTAGTTACTCTTTTATGATCATTATGATCAATAGATATGTTTGACAGTTCATTCTAACTAGTACATTGATTTAAATAATGAAGATGTTTTCATTCTATGGAATTTCTTGGTATTTCATTAAAAATTAGTCTATTATCTCCCCTAATGCCGAGAAACAATCTTCATTAAGTATGCAGTCAGTGTACCTAATTATATGTATTGATCCCCTATCATGGGCTCTTGGCTCTTTTAGAGGTACGCTATGGTGGTGATATAATAAGATGGACTGCATACTAAAAATAGAGACGCAGATTAGGAAATGTTCAATTGAGTTAATTCCAGCAATAGTCCTGGAAATTTTCCAAAATTAGTCTTTAACTTTTAATTTGGACAAAAAAGACACTTGACTTTTTAAAGTGTTCCACCAAAGGTCTTTTCGTCCAATAAGATTTTGTTGACCGTAAGTGTAGGGGGCAATTCTGTCTTTTCAGTATATTGCTTTCTTCTTCCTAGTATATCAGTACACTTACGTTGCTTGGCTTATTTGACTCGATTCAGCCTCGCCTATGGCAGTTTCGGCGGCAGTCCAGGCTGGCAATGGACTCTCTCAAACTCTCGGAGACGTCTTGGAGGCTCAGCAGAGTGATCGCCGAGACCGGATTGAAAATCGATTGCCGGCTGCGAAGTCGGGGGTTCCGAGTCGTCCGTCACATGTGGAGTCTTTTCCGGCGATGGAGGCTGTGCATGGCCAATTAGAGGGTGGAAATGGAGAGGGGAGTGCATCACAATCCTTTCCCCCCAATCAATTTGACGATCGCCAACCTCCTGAAATTCTGGGGTCCGAGGGGTCGCCGAGGGATTACGGCCGGTTGCGGAGGCTGATGTCGTTCGGGATGGTGAGGGGAATCGCGGTATGGTCGAAACCAACCACCACACCGGTCAGATTACTTCTCTGGCCAGGATGCACATCGACAGCCTTCGGCTGAGATTGATGGAGGCACGCCAAGACAGATCAACCAGGCGGTAATTTATTTTCCCGGACCAACATTCTCCGAGATTAGGACATTTAGCTGTTGGATATTTTGTTGCTGCTCCACAACTAACGTAACAACACTTTACGTAACAATATGAAGATGAAGAACGCAAGGATCTGCAAGTGATTTGTACGAACTGAATTTGGACAAGATGAGGAAACAAGAATCAGTGGCGTGTCTAAAAACACTACCATTCTCATCGGGTTATGAATTCATTAAGAGCTGTAGCTCAACCTCACAAGTACACACATTATAGGAATGATCAATGAGTGTTCTACTTTGTGATTCTTTTCATGGCTTCGTTTGACCACAAAAGTGGGATCCACCACGAATTCATCACCTCTTGGGCTTTGAGCCATTCCATTAACAATTCAACGACTAATTAACCTCATAATTAGTCCTCTCTATTAAAGTAAGTTGATCCTCTTTATTCAAGTAAGTTGATCCTCTCGATCAAACTTATGTACACTTGGGCGAGTACTCTATTTCCTCACAAATAACCTTAAGATTTTCATGTCCAACATGAAATATTCTATTTTACCATTATTGTCGGTACTGTGAGTATATAGCCATTAACGTGCAATCCAACTATCAGCTTAGGCTTTTAGTTGAGATGGATCACATACTTCAATTTGGTATCAGAGCCAGACCAAAGGTCATGAGTCCGAATCTCAACGCCACCCGTAAGCGACTACGGTTTATCGGTCCACGTGTTGCTTGGAACCCACCGCACACGTGAGGGGGCGTGTGAGCCACGTGTTGCTTGGAACCCACCGCACACGTGTGGGGGCGTGTGAGTATATAGCCATTAACGTGCAATCTAACCTTCAATTGGTACCACAGAAAGACTTTTAAGAAAGAAATATATAAAGAATTAATTCTCCCCACAATGCAGGACTTACAAATACTTTTTCTCAAATAATGTACTTGATCTCTTACCTAGATTAGTCTTTGGTGCCCAACATTGGCCCCTTAGTAGACTAAGCTATGCAAACTATTGATTAATACACATCAATAGTGGAATATATATTAACCAAATTGGTTAATTCAAACCACTAAATTTTCCCTTTATAAATCTTCAAGATGACTCAATTAAGGTGTTAAACAATAATAAATGCTCATTGGTATTAAGTCACAAAAATAATATTATTTGCATGCTACTTCAAATTGAGCAACATAATCACAAGTTTCGCATAATATTCTTGAAAGAAATTAATCTGATATGCAAAATATATTCAAACTAGTATTTGCTCAAGAATAATTTTCAACCACAATTACTTGGCTTTTCAGCAAAATAAAGAATCTGGCTTTGAACAATAGATCTTGAATCCAAAACCCAATTTGCTCGAAACCAAGAGAGCTAATAATCAACTTAGGTGAGTCCCAATGTAATCTACTCATGCAATGTATACATATGCATATATACATTATTATTTTTTTTGAATGCATTATTATTATTATTATTATTATTATTATTATTAAGCAAGGGACACCATATATTAATACGTAGTATTAAAATTCTAAACCCAAGAAATCAATACTTCTTAATAAGTTATGTAGTCAGTCATACTCCATCTGTACATGTACTGAGTTGAGCATCTATTTATAACATCATAATTAATGCATGCATGCAGTAATATTATTGCAATGCAATATAATGATGAAATTTAAAGATGCATGATGCACTGCTAATACTCATTTAAATAACCACACACATTAATGTTAAAGCATTTTTTTTTATACTTAGATTAATTAAGAGGAAGCATTAGACCCATTACTCTTCACTCCTGCTGCCATTCTTCATAGTTTCAATTGGTTAGAATCCCTTCAACGAGTCCAATATGAGGATCATTTGTGCTTATCGTTGGGGGATGTGGCCACCAAACTGTTGTTCAAAACCGCATGGGATAAGCTACAACAACGGGGTCATATAGGATTGGCAGTGCATTTTCACTGGTATAAACTCGTCACCAACTCCACAACAGACAAGCTCTGTTTGTCAAACCTAGCTGAAAAGCTATATGCACGTAATTAAGTCTAATTCTAATTAGAGACGGGATTACACAGAGTGATTAAGCTAAGCTTTTTTAGGGGCATCACAAATTGCATGGGAATTTTTGCGGGAGAGTGTTGGCTTCACGTTGTCACATTCTGATATGGCGCTGCCATTGGTTCCTTTGTATTCCAACTTCACCCCGCTCAGCACTACTTTGTTGCACGGTACTCTTCCTTTGTATTCCAACTTCACCTCGCTCAGCACTACTTTGTTGCACGGTACTCCAGAGCTGCACAGTAACTTCACCGCCACCTTTGTCGCCGACGTCCCCGTGATCTCCTTGAAGCTAACGTCGCTGATCTTTATTTTCGATGGAACGCCGGTCTTGCATTGATTCCAGGGACAGTATTGCTGATCGATAAAGATTGGGTTGCTGACGTTGTCCATCATCACATCTTCGAAGTGCATGCCGGAGGCAACGCCGTTCGGAGACGACGGCCGCGTCTTGATCCTAACGCCATTGAGAGTATTAGAGAGTTTGCAGTGCTTCACCGTCACTCCCATCACCGGTTGTTCGTGTGATATACAGCAATGCCAATGTTGGCAACCAAATACAGGCATGATAATCAGCTATCACTGCTTAATTAGTTTGATGCAGCTCCGATGAAAACATCAATCAATACTAAACCAAATGAGGATTTAGCTTTTCCAATACTTGGGATGATCAGAGTAATCATGTTGGATGGATGATGGATCCATTCATATTTGAGTACTATATGTATCGTTAAGATAACCAAATTTCACAGTCAAATTAATATATACTAGGAAACATAACAATTTGCCCAGACTTCATCAACGCAGTTTCTCCTTTTCGCGCACTAGTTTGGGACAAAAGGAACTTCCACTATGTGACATTATGTGCTGTTGTATCATGTATGTAATAGAACTCAAAACTCACCTCACTGAAGATTTGACTGTAAGAAGTTTGCACAAATCCCTACCAAAACAAAAACAAAAAAACATAAGAATTTTTTTTGGTGATTCAGATTTGTCAATGCAAACATTACATTAAACATGGCAAATGCATGTTCAATCCAGCCCCATAAGAGCCCCCTGGCCAAATGAAACAATTCTCATACAATGGAGAGTCGAAAGATGCAAAAATAAATGAATCTCATTCATGCATGGTGCATACGGATGCAAAAACGACGGCGTTTTATTAAAAATTGCGCGTTTCCCCTTTTTAAAAAAAATTCTAAGTTCGATTCCCAGCAACAACATATGAACTAAAATTCCAGAATCGATGAACTATAATTCCAGAATCTATGAACTAAAATTTCAGAATCTAATCTATGAACTAAAAATTTCAGAATGAATGAACTAAAATTCCAGAATCTATGAACTACAATTTCAGAATCTATGAACTAAAATTTCAGAATCGATGAACTACAATTTCAGAATCAATGAACTAAAATTCCATAATCTATGAACTAAAATTCAAGAATGAATGACCAACATAATGTTGTTGCTGGGAATCAAACTTGATTTTTTTTTAGGGGAGACGCGCGTTTTTAATAAAAACGACGTCCTTTTTACATCCGTACGCACCATGCATGGTGCATACGGATGCACAACATAACTACTCCTATATTTGATATCATTCTTATCAATAGTTATGCTGTGCAACCGAATGTACCATGCGCATGGTGCATACGGTTCAAAACGACGTCGTTTTGATTAAAAACGCGCGTCCCACTTAAAAAAAAAAAAATCAAGTTCGACTCTCAGCAATAGCATTATTGTGGATATATAATTATGAAATTGTGGATATATAGTTATGAAATTGTGGTTATATAGTTATGAATTTATGGATATTTAGTTCATTCATTGTGGATATTTAGTTCATTCATTGTGGATATTTAGTTCAATCATATATTGTGGATATTTAGTTCATTCATTGTGGATTTTTACTTCATTCATTCATTCATTGTGGATTTTTACTTCATTCATTCATTCATTGTGGATTTTTACTTCACTCATTCACTGTGGATATATAGTTATGAAATTGTGGATATATAGTTATGAAATTGTGGTTATATAGTTATGAATTTCTGGATATTTAGTTCATTCATTGTAGATATTTAGTTCAATCATATATTGTGGATATTTAGTTCATTCATTGTGGATTTTTACTTCATTCATTCATTCATTGTGGATTTTTACTTCATTCATTCACTGTGGATATATAGTTATGAAATTGTGGATATATAGTTATGAAATTGTGGTTATATAGTTATGAATTTTTGGATATATAAAAATGCTATTGCCGGGAATCGAACCTGATTTCTTCTTTAAGTGGGACGCGCGTTTTTTTTAACCAAAACGGCGCCGTTTTGCAACCGTATGCACCTTGCAAGGTGCATTCGGTTGCACAGCATAATTTGCGCATTCTTATACCATGGACCAATGTCCACAATGCGGCGAATTATGCTCTGGACCCGGGTCTAAAACGACGTTGTTTTGAAGTCTACATTCTATTAAAAAAAATGCCTCCTTCTTTACCGTTAACTTGCCGTTTTTCTTCCGAATTCATTCCTCTATATCACAATTTAAAATTACAAAACTCAATATTCACAATTGCAGAACTTTATATTCACAAATTTAGAACTGAATATTCACAATTTTATATCTTAATATACAAATTTACAAAACTCAATATTCACAATTACAGAACTCTATATTCACAATTTTTGAACTCTATAATCACAATTGTTTAGCTCTATATTCACACAAAAAAAATATAATTAGCTGATGAAACGGTGCCACTAACGGCATCGTTATTCCAGATGCACAAAGCTGCATCGTTTTGGACCTTCATGGCATAACAATTACCACAATGCAAAACGACATTCAAGTTATGTATTTGTATATAATTTCATAACACAAGACACAAAAAAACATAACACGAGATACATATACATGTTATATATTTACTTATTTTTTAAATATGATTTAAGTAATTATAGACCCCGAACTAAAACGACAATGTACATAATTCATACTTATAAAATACATAATTTCATAACACAAGACACAAAAAATCACACACATATACATGTTATAAATTTACTTATTTTTTCAAATCTTATTTAGTACATAATTTATGTTCACATGCATAGAATTTCATAACATAACACACAATTAATAATTTATTTCAAGTACAAAATTTCATAACATAAGACACAAAAAATCACAACACAAGACACCCCCTTAATTTGCAATTGTTATATCGTGCACCAATGCGCACAATGCATTGTGCATCCTAAAAAAAATTATGTTTCGTATGTACAGAATTGTATAGCAGCAGAATACATATAAATTTCTAATATAATAATACATATAATCTAACATAATACATAATACACAAACTTTTAACATAACAAAAAAATAAAACTATAACAAAATTTAGGCAAACAAAACGGTGTTCATTATGTCAACTCTCACCCACTTATAAAAACTGTTGTATTGCAAGTTTGTTTGCATGCCTTTAGCTCGTGAAGAACAGTAAGAACAAGAAGAAGAGTAGAGACAAAATAGATGGTTTCTTATTCCTTTATACCACACCCCTGATCATTACATTAGAATGACATATATATAATAACAAGTGTAACGGAATACAATAATGGAGACATAAAGGAAACCGTTACACAATAATGTCCACAATCATTACTATTTATAACACTCCCCCTTGGACATTATTTGTCGATGATCTAGCCTCGTTAAAAACTTTCTAGGAAAACCCTGTGGGAAAAACCTAGACAAGAAAAGAGTACAATAGAAAATATATTCATGCCTCATTAAAAACTTCACTAGGAAAACCACGTGGGAAAAACCTAGTTGAAGAAAAGAGTACATGATATATATAAAAACATATATTGTATTTGGTCGCCTCATTAAAAACCTTAACTTAAGAAAACCCTGTGGGAAAAACTTAGTTAAGGGAAAAAGAGTACAACCATAAGCCTTCAGGGCGCAAACCGCATAATCTTCAGGATTTTGGGGTTTGTCCATTTAAGCAATTATTTTGCAACTTTTCCTCATTGTCATTACTATATCATACTCATGCCTCGTTAAAAACCACACTAGAAAACCCAATGGGAGAAAACTAGTGAGGAAAAGAGTACATGATATTTATGTATTTATGTGTTGCAAATAGTGCGCAATTGTTAGTCTTTTATGACTTAATCTTCAGGATTTTACGTTCAATGTTCAATCTTCCGGATTGATTCGAGTAAATGTACTTCCAGTCTCCCCCTGAAGATAACAATCTTCAAGTTCTACATATATTTCAAATTTTGAAGAGATGGATTGGACAAATCTTCTGGATTGTCACTTAGAGTAGTGTACAATAATCTTATGGCTCTTCTAGAGCTAATATAACATTTGTGCAACACAAGTGTTATTGTCCTCATTTTGAACATTTAGGGAAATTCATTGTATAACCAGTTTGGACTTGGCATTGCGGGGATCAAACAAAACAGCCAGTACCCAAGTAGCCTATTAAAACCGTATCATGGTTTCTTACATAAATGTCATGTCTTTGTATCTCGAAGATACCGGAGGATATGTTAATCATTATTCAAGTACTTCATTTGTAGGGGGAGCACTAGATTTTGCTAGCAATTTTATCGCAAATATGTTGCGGTTATGGAACTTCTGGTTCTATAATGGTGCTCCAATGATAATGAAGTAAGGGACTTCGAGTCCAAAAAGGTTCCTTATCTACTTCAAGAGATTAGGCAACCTTTAGTTTGATAAAACATGACACTTATATGCATATAGACATATGAAAAAGCATTTTTAGATGTAGGCTGACTGGTGTATATAAAAAAAAACTGTAAAGAAAAACTCGATCTTCAAGTCGAGATAAAACTTATAGCTTTCACAAGCTTTTTGTTTCAAAAGTCTCAGTCTTTAAACATGAACTGACATCATCAAGCTCTTTATATCTTTCATTGATGTTTACACCATCAATCTTGACTGAGATAATAAATAATAAATAAGTTCATTATCAACCCTTTATCGAGCACACAATGGTACATATTATTCCTTCAATGAGGATATTAACTCCATTCGCAACCCTTTAAAGAGTAGATAATGACACATAATAATACTTAAAAATGAGAATTATGAATCCATCAGGGATTTCTCAAGATAAATTTAACTGCATATCTAAATTTATTATTCTGCCAATTGTATTATGTAGCGGAACTTAATGCCATTTACCGTGGGAGATTATATTTGATTAAAATCAATTAAGGGTCTCTGCGTGAACCCATAGGCTACAAACTCGCTTTATCACCTCATTATTCTTATTTCTCTTTCATGCACACACCCATTTGTAACCTTCAGGGTTAACACTCAAATGGTGTATTGTTATAAAGAGAATTTATTCATTTTAGCGAGTCGAGCTATGCCTTAATTGCTCCTTTATATATTAAATAGTCATGGCCCTTCTGGTGCTTAACTCTGGATCCAGATTATATAACGAGCAATTTGTAATA